TCTGATCTCATTTTATAGATGAGGAAACCACTCTGGAACAAGGGCTGTAAATATTTTGCCCAAGGCCACTTAGTCAACAGTAAGGAGCAAAGGTAGGGCTTGCATTCAGACCATCTCCTTCCAGAGGCCACCTCTTAACCACAATATAATGTCTGCTGTCTGATGACAGCAGTTCTGCCAACCGCCGATCTAGAATTGTGCGGAGCTGAGCTGCCCATTGCGCTACTCTAGAGGGCTTTTCTATACTTGTGTATGTAGTTATGTAGCCCATGCAAAGGGAGCCTCTGGATTTAAATAGTCCCATCTAACTAACCCATAAGGAGTTCTGGTAGCGTAGTGTAGGAATCAGGCTGCGAACCTTAAGGTCAGCAGTTCGAAACTACCAGCTGTCCTGCGGGAGAAAGATGAGGCTTTCTGCTCCTGTAAAGATTTACAGCCTCAAAAACCCTGTACAGGGTCGCTATGAGTTTGAACTGACTCCACAGAACGTAACAACAACAACATCAACAACTAGCCCATTAACAGTAACTCTGTCTTAAGCCTGTGTAATTTTTTTTGTTATCTCCTGATGATATTCTTTATTTTTTCTGTGTGTGTGTGTGTGTGTTTGCCTGCATACCTGCATATGTGCATACACACACTCTCAAAGCATACACTTTTGCACATACATACATTTGCATAATCCTCACTTATATACCACCTTGCAGCCATTTGTTGAAAGCTAACCAGTCCCAAGTTAAGATAGTTTTTTCTATCTCATTAGCATGTCAGTATTATAGCAAAATTGCTAGCTTATTTCTGGAAATGTTTTGAGTGCTTTTAATGTTTTATGAAACGTTTGGTCCTTTTGTATACTAGTGTTTCGTAGTTTCTTACTTCAGAGCTAGAAACTGTGGGTAGGCTAAGTTAACCTAATGCTTTCAGACATGGTGTTGGTAGATATGGGGCCCTGATACAGAGTCAGAATTCTACAGTGTGAATTCAGCAGCAGTAGTGGGTCTCTCTAGGCTCTCCCTTATTTCTGAGGCTGGGACTGTGAGCAGTGACAAGAGGGTAATATGTCCCTGGAATAAAAGTCTGCATCTATAATTTCTTTTGCATGTTGTTTCTCATTAGGTAACCAGCCACAGCAAGGAGTAACTCCCTACGGGCATCCTTCACACTTCTGAATCTGGAAGAGGAGAAGACATGAACTTTTATGTTTGCACTGGAAAATAGAAAAGCAAATTCATTGTGTTAGTCATCCTTAGAAATGCCCCTTGGTTCTTTTATTTCTTCAAGGTTTTCTTGTTTTACGCTACATTTCATGCAAAGGTATTTCGACAAAAAGCAAAGGAGAAGTTGTGGTTTGGTTTTGTTGTGTTTAACTTTAAAATAGGTTTAAAAGTGTGGATCAACCTACGGGCCCGCTTCAGGAGGAGTTTGGTAGCAGACCTTTTGAAATTGGTGCTTTTTTAAGACTCATATTTACAGAAAGAATGAATGATGGTGGATTTCAAATATTTATGTACTTATTCATGATGAAGATTTTGTTTTGTTTTGTTTTTCCAAACTGTGCTGGACCAAACTACTGATTTGAAAGGCATGTCAGAACTTGACAGGGAAATTGACCCATTTATTCTCTATTCACCTTTGATGGTGAAATGGACATTTATTTGCATCACCTTAATTTGAAATGTTTGTAATTTCATAAGCACTTTATAAACTGTGTTCTAATTTTTAAGTAGTTTTTTTTTTTTTTTTTTGCTTTGCTTTCATTGTGGTCAAAAGGTGCTGAAACAGATTCCTGATTAGTACTCAGACCACTTACAGTTTCTGCGGGCACCACATAGGGTGTGTTGTGGAGGTCTGTTAGAAATAGCCAGACTCTAATTAGTTTTCAGTGGCAAGATCATTGGCCAGAATCTTTGTGAAGGTACAAATGTTAAATTCTAGAGACCCAGATGAACCATAGTGGAATTATTCCAGTCATAACTGCCAAATCTGGCAAAAATGACTGTTCAGTTTTAGTTCTCCTGAACCTTATGCCAACTTGAGAAAGAAAGAAAAGAAAAAACATCTCACAGCTGGCCTGAGACTCCACAATGCTCAAACTTAGCATAGTTTCCAGAGAATCTGGCCCCAAAGTCCAGAAGGCTCTGGTTTTCATAAATGGTGTATTTGCTGTTTATTTTGTATGGTAAGTATTTGCTATTTTGCATTTAATTATTGTTGATGTCAGTCTTGGTTGTGTACTGCATATACTGTATTTATAAATTGGTGCAAAAAGCACAAGTAAAGTAAATTATCAAATTTATTATAAAGAAATAGTAACTATTTTAACTTTGTTCAAGTATGTGGTAATTTGCTCCTATTAGATTAAAAAAAAAAAAAAGACAGTAAATTATTATCAGTTTGTGTAACTTAAGAGTATTCCATATAATATTTTTTTAGATTTAGATGCATAAAATTTTGAATGTGAAAATTGCAGGGCATTTTAAAACATGTGGGGGATTTTTTCCCATGTTCTGTATTAATTCATTTTCCTTTGCCATATGATTTTACATGTAATGTAGTCAAGAGTCAAGCATACTGTGAATAGATTTGTCTATAATGAGCAAACCATGTAGAACTACATTTTTAAAATGTAGCTAGTACAACTTTAGTAGAGAATTTCTTTTGCAAATCATTATATAAATAATTTATATCTTCCCAGGTGAGTTTTACTCATTGCAAAGTTTGACTCATGCAAATGACCTCAGATTCATGTCAGTTTACTTTGCTGTGGCACCATCCATATGAACTGCTTTGTACACTGTGAAAATATTTTACTCCAGCCTGCTCGTTTGGTGTTTACTCAAGGCTGGAAAAGACTTTGCCAAAACATTAAAGACCTTCTTTTCACTAAATTAACATACTCTTATCTGCTTTCAGAAGGTGAATCTTTACGTTTCAACTGGTTTTATATATCAGTTTTTTTTTTTTCTCTTAAGAATTCATACTTGGAGTTCGTGAAATTGTTTTTCATCAACGTTAATATACCTGTAGAATGACTGCGTTGGCTAAACAATCGAAATGTGAAAGTCGTGCCTCAAGTAGTCATGTCTTGTCCTTGCTTTTTGGTTTATTTCATGTTTTGTTTGCCTTTTCAAGAACTATTGGTATTTAAAATGCCAGTTTTCATTTTGAACCTTATATTTTTGTAACTCAATATTGCAAACAGTAGTAATACTGTTTCAAGAATGAGTGTTATAATTGCATAGCATTTGTATGCACTTTATATTTTACAGAAGTTAATTTATTAATCCTTTTGCACATGAAAGCTGTGGAGTATATATATATATATGTATATATATATATGTGTGTGTATATATATATACATATTTTTATTGTGTCCATTTTTTTTTAGGTAAGGAAGCCAAGTCATGTAAAGTCCTATAGTTCCAAGATTCTGTGGAAAGTTGAGGAAAAGCCTAGAACATGTTTTTCCATATGATTTATATAGAAAGAAACTGGAATTTTTACTTTTAGCTTCATCATATTTTCTATGTATTCCTCTGTCCTAAGGTATTTCACTCTTTGCTAGCACATGTATTAGTTGAATTAAGATGTTCCTAAGTAAAAGCCCCATCCTAAAGCAGAACCTGGTCAATTGCTTGGTGAGATAGGAAATTCTCCTAGGAGAAAGGGCACCCCAGCTTCCCTTAAAGATAAGACCTTGGATTCTAATGGAGTTGGGTATATCTATCATAATTCTTGGATGGATATAAAAAGACTTGATATGCCTGTTTACTCAAAGACTCGTTCCTGATATGGTTGGATTTGCCATGCTTTTTGTTCCTTTTGACCATGAAGCAGAAGTAAACCACTTTCAGAATATGAGTATCCTTTCGCCTCTTGTAGTCACAGGACAGCAACACCAGAGATGAATAGCAACCGGGCCACCTCATAGGCAGGGCTAACTGAAAAAAACATAGTGGAGGCTACCACAGCCAGTGGTTTTGTCTACAGAGGTATCTAAGCAAGTCCTAAGACATTTTCATCACTACCTTTCCCCTCCCAACACCACCACCACCACCACACACACACTCTTACTAAGGCTCCTATAAGTCTTCTTAAATAGTAGACAGACATCTGAACAGATACTGGAGAAATAACACTGGAAAAATCCTAGCCTCTAGAATTAAAATGATGAAGTATATGATGACCCCTCAAATTAAGTCAGGATGAATTGAGCATGTACTATAAGTAGATTAAGTCAATTACACAAGGCAAGTTTTAAATACAATGAAATTTCATTATATGTATTAGATCTAGACCCTCCTAAACATTTTCCCCTGCATTAAGATTTATCGCTTTATGAAATAAAATGCTTGTAAAGCAATGATTCCTCCTCAATTTTCCGTGTAAACAGCTCCAAACCAGGGGTTCCTGATGCAGATTTTGATGTTATAAAGAAGTTTCATTGTATTTTTAAAAAACCTTTTTAATGGGTGTATTTGGACAAAGATGTAATCAAGTCCCTTTTCACATTTTATGATGTGCAGGTGTTATGTTGCTTTTTACATGTGGAAACGTTAAGCTGCATTTATTTTTAAAATGCAGTCATTAAAGCAGTTTTGTAATCCCACCAATGAAAATTTTCAGTGTGAAAAAATAGCGACTCATAATCAAAATAGGTCAGTGCTTATTTTCCTTAAGTTTTAGTAGAATATTTATAAACCAACCACAAAAATAGATATACATCAACATGGTAAATTCACACCAAGTCCACACATGTAGTCTTTTCCATTGTCTTTGTTCTGAGTGCCATGCTTGCACCATTGATAGAAGTTGGACAGTAGACAACGGATAGCAAAAGAAAAGAAGTCCATTCTTTACTGAAGAATTCAGGTATACTAGGTATTTATTATTTAATGGTCAACTGTGTTATCTCTTAATGTTCATTGTTATTTGTTGGCAAAATAAAAGTGCCTTAAGTTAAAAATTTGTTTTGGGATCCATTAAAGAAATCAGTATCAGTTCATAATGCATTTATTTACAAGTCTTTTTTTGCATGTCCATTGTAAATTTAATATTGTAAATGTATTCAAATTCATTTACACGCCTATGGCTGCCTTTGATTAAATTCTTCCAAAAAATAAGCCCTCTCCAGATGTTGGCTTTGTTCACACAGCTGTTTTTGTTTTGCTTTGTTTTAACTTAATTTCACATCAGATTACTTGAATATAAGTTGCTGCATAATCACTCCCAAGTGGATTCTTAGCTATGCATTTGTAGAGCCCCGAGTGCGAGGTTTGAGGGTTCTGAATGACGAGGGTACCCTGTGGATGAAGCACCTCAGGTGTCCTCCCTTTCCTCACCCTTGAGAGCCGGGAGTGGCCAGGCATCTCCCATGTGACTTCTGGCTTGGGGACTCCCAAGGCCACACACTGGAGCTGCACAGCCGCACCTGTCCTTGTGAGGATGCTCCTAGGCGGGCGATTTGTAATTCGGGGAGGGTAGGCTACAATCATTACTGGCACGGTAATCAGTGCATGGCCAACACTATTTTGAGCCTTACAAATATAGTTGCCTCTGTTATGAGCAGTTGCTTCTTTGATGACTAAGGTGCCGTTTTCATGCAATATGTATTTTCCATTTGTTTGAGGCCTATCTATTACATTACCACTTGGTAAAGTCCATTTGATACTTGGTTTAGGGCTTCCATCAGACACGCAATGCAGTGACAGAGATTCTCCACTGATACCTTTAACTATTCCTAGAGCGTAAGTAAGAATGACTGGCTTCTGACCAATTTCCAGTACAATTAATTTCTCAATGTAGCCAACTTTATTCTTAGCTGCACAACGATACTTTCCTGCATCTTCTCGGGTGGTCTTAGGAATGATCAAAGAACCGTTGCTTGCGATCTGATACTGAGGATCTTGTGCTTCACTGGAGAAGCTTGTGCCATTTGGTAAAATCCAGATTATTTCTGGTACTGGGTTTCCATCAACAGAACAATTCAACGCTGTGGACTTGCCCAGCTGAGCAACTATTTTTTCATTAAATGGATTTCTGAATGTTGGTCTTCTCAGCATTTCCAGTACTTCTAACTGCACCACCAACACACTCTCTCCTCCTTCATTCCGAGCCACACATATGAAATCAGCTGAATCTGAGAGCCTCACATTCCTAATCTCCAGGGTCCCATTTTTATGGACAGTGATTCTGCTCCCATAGTATGGGGCTGGGAGGAAAATACTGTCTGGCATGATCCACATGATCTGAGGAGTTGGTGTCCCTTCGGCTCTGCAATCAAAGTGCTTCTTAGAATGCCTCACAGCCGTGGCTCTAATGACAGTTTTGTTTGTAGACAGACCATTGATTAATGGAGGTTTGGAGACAACATCTAATTTGTACATTTTGGTGTCATCGCCACTGGGATTTCTGGCTACACACACATACTCCCCAGAATCAAGCAGCGTTGCTTTGTTGATGGACAAAGACCCATTGGCGTGAAATGTATACCTATTGTCAGAGAATGAAATCATGTCATTGGAAGGCAGCAACCAAAATATTTTTGGCTTGGGTTCCGCAGTGACTTCACAGTCAAGGATGGCTGTGTCTCCAGCCTTAACTCTCCGGTTAGTCTTATCACCCTGCCTTATCCGTGGGGCAGCTGTCACCACTGTCAGGTGGACCTTCATCTCATCCTTCCCTACGGTGTTCTGGGCATAGCAAGTATAATCTCCTTCCTCCGCTACTCCAACTTTGTTGAAGTACAAAGTTCCATTGTTGAAAAGAATGTACCTCTGGGTCCTGCGGCCACTATCGTCTGCTTGCATTGCGTTGTTAATCATTGTTCCATCGGGTAAACTCCACGAGATCTCAGGCACTGGGGAGCCAGAAGCCTTGCAATCAACTTGGAAATCTTTCCCGTGAAGCACTTGTTTTTTAAAATGCTGCTTGTGGTCAATTTTGGCAGGTTTTAGGCGTGGGCTGACGTGCATCAGTATCAGGTCATCTCCCATTTTGTTTCTGGCCACACACACGTAGTCGCCGCCATCTTTTTCTGTTACTGACTCAATAAACAGGGACCCATTGGGGTACACATGGATTCGGCTGCCCATTCTAAGAAGAAAAATAGACTGATTTGAGTGTGTAGCTGTTAGCAGGGAAATATTTAAATGAGATTAACAGATTGAAACTGTTGTAATGAAAATTAAATGCAATATTAACTGATTTGCTGTCTGTAGGATAAGCACAGAACTGATAACCTCAAGGTCGGCAGTTCAAACTCACCAGTCGCTCCTTGGAAACCTTATATAGGGTCATTATGAGTCAGAGCAAACTCAATGGCACACAACAGCAACAAGCTATTTGATGGAAAATGAAGTGATGTAGTTGAATAGGTGTAATTTGTGGGAACAAATATTTCTCAGGCAGCCTTCAAATGAGTCTATAGGAAGTTTAAAAAAAAAAAAAAAAAAAGTTATTAGGGGAATTCTGGAAAGCCGGAAGAGAATAAAACAATCCGTGTTGGAAGAAGTACAGCCAGAAGGCTGCTTAGAAGCTAGGATTGCGAGACACAAGTTATCTGGAGAAGGGCATCAAGCTTGGTAAAGTGGAGGGTCAGCAAGAAAGTGAAAGACCCCCAACGAGATGGATTGGCATAGTGGCATCAGCAGTGGACTCAAGTCTAATGATTGTGAGGATGGCAAAGGACTGGGCAGTGTTTCGTTCTGTTGTGCATGGGGTCACTACGAGTTGGAACCGACTCAATGGCCCCCTAACCACAAAAACACCATGACCACTTTGACCATTTTGCCTACAAGGGGATTTCAAAAAGTTCGTGGATAAACTCCATTATCTTTCAATTGCATTTTTCCCAAGAACTTTTAAAAGCCCCCTCACATCAAGCTAATAAAACCAAATAAATCCAAACCTGCTGCTGTAGTCTATTTTGACTCGTCGTGACCCTACTGAGCACAGTAGAACTACTCCATAGGTTTCCAAGGCTGTAAATCTTTATGGGAGCAACCCCATTGTTCTCTCTCAGAGCAGCTGCTAGGTTTGAACTGCCAACTTTATAATTAGCACCTCAGTACTTAACACACGTCACCACCAGAACCTCTACCAAACTAATAAAACCAAAAGCTAGACTCACTGCCATTAAGTAAATTTGGACTCATAAAGACTCTCTGTGGGGTTTCCAAGACTGTAGATCTTTACCAGAGCAGACAGGCTCAACTTTCTCCCAAGGAACAGCCGGGGGGTTGGAGCTGCCGGCCTTGCAGTTAGCCCATTGCTTACCCCACAGTGTCACCAGAACTTATCGAACTAATTGTTAAGTGCTATGCAATCGGTTCCAACCCACAGCGACTCTAGATAGAGCTTCCAAGGAGTGGCTGTTGAGCTTGAACCGCCAACGTAGCAGTTCAAAACAACTTTGCAGTCCAGTACATTAACCCACAGTACCAAACACCAGGACTCCTTTTTATCAAACTAATAGAGCCACAAAAATGATCATTTTGTGATATGGGTGAAGACAAAAAAATTGCGTACAGAGCTGAAATTCACCAATTTGGTAAAAACAAAAACAAAACAAAACAAAAACATGCCAGGTTGTAACTTTTAGAAGGTGTTACTGGATTACTTGCTACAAGACATGTTCTAGTTACAGAGTTTATGCTAGTAGAGGACACATCATAATCCTACTGCAGCATCTGTCTTTGCTGTGCAGTTGTAAAGTCACTTTAAAGATTTTTCATCAAGTTGAGTTGTGTAAAACATTTTTCTCCCCTAGATTTAAAACCACAATGTCAGCAGTTCAAATCCACCAGCCGCTTCTCGGAAACCCTGTACAGGGTCGCTGTGAGTCAGAATTGACTCGAGGGCACTTAACAACAGTGAACAGATGAGCAACTCTGATGGCGCAGTGATTTCAGTATTTAGTTGCTAATGACAGGTCAAAGGAGCTCTGGTAGTGTCGTGGCTACCAATTGGGCTGCGAACCGCAAGGTCAGCAGTTAGAAACTACCAGCTGTTCCGCGGAAGAAAGATGCGGCTTTCTGCTCCCATAAAGATTTACAGCCCTGGAAACCCTGTACAGGGCCACTATGAGTCGGAACCGACACCACCACTGCACATAACTATGACAGGTCAATGAACTCACCAACCTCTCCACTGGGGGAAGATAAGGCATTGTGTTGGTAAGTGCCATTGATTGGGTTCCAACTCACAGCGACTTTGCACAGGGTTTGCGAAAAGCCACCGGTAAGCTTGAACTGCCGACCTGGAGGTTCAAACCGGTTTGGAAGTCCAGCGCATTATCCTGCAGCGCCACACTAGGACTCTGCCACACTATTGGGACTGTAGTCTTGGGAGTTCCGTTCTATTCTAAAGGGTCTTTATGAACCAATCTACTCGATGACTGTAGGTTTTGGAGAGAATAGACACTAACAAGCAGTTGCCATTGAAATGACTCCAATAAATGGTGACTCTGTGTATGTCAGTGTAGAACGTCTTTGAAGAGTTGTCAAGGGCTGATTTATCCAAAGCAAATAACCTCAGGCGTGATACAGCCTGCCATTACTACATTTAACCACTAGATGGCAGACCTCCATTGGTAAAACTAATCTTGTTAAATACCTTTGAGTCAGTTCTGATTCATCGAGACCCTGTATAGAATTTCCAAGGAATGGCTGGTGGGTTTGAACAGCTGACCTCGTGGTTAGCTATCTAATGCTTATTCTTCAGCGCCACACCAGAGGGGAAAAAAAGACCCTCAACGACATGGATTAATGCAGTGACTACAACAATGGGCTCAGAAATTATTGTGAGGATGGCCCAGGTCTGGCAGTGTGTCATTCTGTTGTACAAAGGGTCACTGTGAATTGAAACGGACTCAGTGGCACCTAACAACTCTAGCTCTTCAGAAACGCCAGTGGAAAGTGATGCTAAAACGAGATCATATCTGTTATATATGTATTCTAATTTTTTTTGTAACAAAGCCTAAGCATGTAGGTGAAACAAAAGTTAACAGTCATACAGCCTGAGGTCAATTTTTATTCTCCAGTAAACCTGTCACAAGGAGCATGGAAAGGATTGTACTAAAGCTTTCTAAATGGGCACTGGTGTTCTTTTCATTGTTTCTCAAGTGTGAAAGGAACTTCTCTGGCATGTAAATCCAGATTAAATCATCATAATGGATTGAAGAGGAAGACCCCCTCCCCCCCAATGAGATGGATTGGCACAGTGGCAGCAGCAATGGGCTTAAGCTAACAATGATTTTGAGGATGACGCAGGACTGGGCAGTGTATCCTTCACTGGGCATAAGGCCTAAATGAGTTGGAATCGACTAGATGGTACCTAACAACAACATCAACAACAATGAATCGATTCCCTTAATAAAAGGAATAGGAGCTTTGGTAGCATTGTTCGTTGTTTAGTGCCGTTGAGTCAATTCCGCCCCATAGTGACCCTGAGTGGTTATGAAATGGGCTGCTAATCTCACAGTCAACAGTTCAAAACTACCAGCAGTTCCACTGGTAGACAGATGAGGCTTTCTGCTCCCATAAAGATTTACAGCCTCAGAAACACTATATAGGGTCGCTATGAGTTGGAACTGACTCCACAGCACACAACCACCACTAATAAAAGGAATAGAAACTGTCAGGTGCTTTGCATTAGCCTTTAAATCTGTAGTTTCCAATTATACAGATACAAACTGGTATTTAGAGAGGTATAATAATAGTGCCTGGTGTCCTGGTGTGGCGCTGTGGGTAATGTGCCAGACTGCAAAGCCATTTGAACTGCAACATCGGCAGTTCAAGCTCACCAGATACTCCTTGGAAACCCTATACAGGGTTACTATGGGTGGGAACAGACTTGACAGCACTTAACAACAACAACAACAATAATAGTGCCTGGTGTGGTGCTGTGGAACCTCATGGCTGGTTTGAACCACATGGCTGAACCTCATGGCTGGTTTGAACCACAAAGCCAGGGGTTCAAACTCACCAGCCACTCCTTGAAAAATCTATACAGGGTCACTACAGCACTTAACACCACCAACAGGCTGACTCAGGTCACAGGTCAAGTTCTTTTTTACTGTGCTACAAGGTTACAAATCTGGCTGCTAATCTCACGATCAGCAGTTTGAAACTACTATCTGTTCCATGGAAGAAAGATGAGGCTTTCTGCTTCCATAAATATTTACAGGCTCAGAAACCCTATGCAGGGTTGCTATGAGTCAGAACTGACTCCATGGCATATAACAACAACAACAGTGCCACTGGCTCTTCCTTCCTACACCAAAACAATACCCATTGCCATGGAGTCTGTTCTGACTCATAGCCACCCTCTAAGACAGGGTAGAAATGTCCCCAGAGTTGCTCTCTAGAAACACTGATTCTCAAACTTGAGTGCACATTAAAATTATCTGTGGTGTTTAAAATACTACTGATCCCTGGGCCTCACTCCCGTAATTATTGATTTAGTCTGTGTGGCATTAGGCCTAGACATCGAGATTCTTAGGGGTCCCAAAATCTAGAACCACTGCTCTAAATCTTAGATCTTAATGCAGTTTCCCTAAGAGTATTTATTACCTGCATCTTAATCACATGGGGCCTTCTTTAAGCAGGGCTTTGAGCTGATTCATTCCAGTTCCACTCCCTGCAGAGAATTTACATTTCCCCCCAGATATGGAATCCTGTGACACTGTAGGATCAGCACTGGACTGCAAACCAGAAGGTCGGAAGTTCAAACCCACCAGCTGCTCCTTGGAAACTCTGTTGTTGTTGTTGTTAAGTGCCGTTGAGTCGGTTCCGACCCATAGCGACCCTGTATAGGGTTTCCGAGGGTGTAAATCTTTACGGGAGTAGAAAGCCTCATCTTTCTCCCGTGGAGCGGCTGGTAGTTTCGAACCGCTGACCTTAAGGTTCGCAGCCCGATTCGTAACCACTACGCTACCAGAGCTCCTCTATATGAGCCAAAACCAACTCTAGGGCACTTAACAACAACAACAACAACATTGTGGCACTGAAGTTTAAGGGCTGAACTGCTAACCATATGGTCAGCAGTCCAAATCCATTAGCCACTCCTCAGAACCCCTATACAGGGTTGCTATGAGACGGAACCAATTCCAGGGCACTTAACAACAACATTACATTCATTTAGGACTCTTTTTATCCTGCAGATAGGAATACAGCAGGCCTGTGGTGAGGTCTGACATCCTGAACCTGGAACAAGCAAAGTCCCAAAGGAAAGGACATACAACTCTGCCTGAACTACACTCTGTACAAGTTAAATGGAAAGTAACAGAGGTACATTAATAGTGCTCTGTGTCTGGGACCATTACAAAGACTTTTTGGATAATGACAAGAATTGTAAGAAACTAAAAGGGTTTTGTTTATTTGGGGTATTGTAGAGTACACTTGGGTCAGCAATGCTATGGTGGAAGTGTTTTATTTTAGTTTTTTTTAAATTTAAACTCAGTCTTCTAAAGTTAAGAAAACAGTAGGCCTTTTTTGAAAAAACAACAAACTGATGGAACAGAACTGCCTTTTTTTTCTTTCAGTTGAAGTATCTAAAGCATGTAAGTGAAAATAGTCTTGATTTTTTTAATCAGTAAAATACCTGTGATCTTATACAGTCTGCCTCACTTCTATAGTATGAACAGTTTTTCTATGTTTTAAATATTTTCCCTAAACAAAATATAAACAACCTGCCTAACTTCCTTGCAGGATTTCATCGTAATACTTAATCAGGACTGATTCTGAGGCACGAATGTGTTTTAGAACACTTTATATATTTTCTTTGCATTAACTTTTTTATTTTTTAAATTAGCAGCCTGATTCGTAAAATCACTGTGTAAGATTTTAATTTTCTAAAAATTGGCTTGCTACACAGTGAATGTTTTTGACCCTGTCTTTACAACCAAAAATCTGACCTTTATTTGTTACTACCATTACAAGTGTGATGCTGTCTCAATCTCTTACGCTGGTTCCTACATGTATAATGCAAATTATATTCATATTACACGGCATAATGAGCAACTGCTGAGTAATTGAGAACTGTGTCCATGAACTATGAAATTTACTGTAAATGCATTAATTTCAGAAAATAGAACTGGCATTCAGTATAAATGAAATGCTTGCAATTACTTGAAGGCCAAGCTATGATATGCTATTATTGTGAAATTAAATGCAATACTCAGTAGATAAAGCTTTGAAAAGATCTGACACCATCCAGGAATAGATGTGTACAGGATAACAAACATAAATATTTACATTTTATAACAACAGTTTTATTTTAAATCTCAAATAAATGCAACATGACATTTTAAGTAATTTTGAGAACTGCTATTATTTTAAAAACTTGAAAATTAACATTTACTTTTGAATGCAATATCATGGCATGCAACAACAGCTCATTCTAACACTAAAAAGATATACTCTTCAATTTTTGACATTAGTAAAAGTTTTTATCTAGCATTTAGAAATTTTCCTGCCTGGGTATTTTCCACGAATGAATAAACAAATGCATAAAATGGAAATGTTTATCTCATATTTTTGTTCTGGTACTTTCTGGAAAATCACTGTGTAAAGTCATGCAGATGCCAAAATTGATACCTCTTATAAGCTGTAAAAGGAGCTCTAGTAGCATAGTGGTTACGAATCGGGCTACTAATCTCAAGATCAGCAGATCGAAACTACCAGCTGTTCTGCAGGAGACGATGAGGCGTTCTGCTTTTGTAAAGATTTACAGCCTCGGAAACACTGTACAGGGTGGCTATGAGCCAGAACCGACTCCACGGCACATAACCACCACCATAAGCTGTAATGGACTCCTGGTGTGGTGCTGTAGGATCAGCATTGGACTGCAGACCACAAGCTTAAAACCCACCAGTTGCTTCATCAGAAACTTTATTCAGGGTCGCTATGAGTTGGATCAGACTCAACGACATTTAAAAACAACAATAAGTTATAAGCTATAATCTCTAGATGGTACAAATAGTTAGTATATCCAGCTACTAACTGAAAGGTTATAAGTTCAAATCCATCCACCACCTTGGAAGAAAGAGCTGGCAAGGCAATCTGTTTCTGAAAAATCAGTCATTGGAAACTTTATGGAACATAGTTCTACTCTGGCTCAACATGGGATCAAAATGAGTCAATCAATTCAATGGAAACTGTTTTTTCAATAAGTATCCATATTCTTGTACAAGAGCATATTGAAGAACATTTATATATGTATCTACGTGCCCCAAAAGATGCTAGAGGTTATAGACACATTCAGCCATGTGAAGGTCTATATGTTGTTACTTTTTTAAAGGGCTTTCCCATTATATGGGAAAAAAATTTATGTTCTGCTTGTACTAAAATTAAAAATGTTTAATAGGAGACTATGGAGTCCTGGTGTGGCACTATAGGATAAGCATTGGACAGCTAACCACAAGGATGGTGGTTCAAACCCACCAACCACTCTCAGAAAGCCTATAGGGGTTTCTATGAGTCAGAACCTAGCTGACACCACTTACCAAACAAACAAGATGAAGAACGAAGCAATGGAGTATGCCTCTCCAGAAACTTGATTGCATCAAATCAATTCCCTGCTCTATTTTGAACCCTGGTGTTGCACTGTAGAATAAGTTCTGGAGTGGTACTGCAATGTCAGGTTCAAACCTACCAGCTGCTCTCAGACACCCTATGAAAGGTCACTATGAATTGGAACCAACTCAAAAGCACACAGCAACAACATTGTATTTTGGGTAGAGAGAATATGAATGCATTTACAGTTGCCATTTTAAAACTATCATAAGCATGGAGGCAAATGAGACTCTCATCCTTCTTTTAATTCTATAAAATTAATAAGAAGCTGACCCTTAGAGTTAACCATGTAAATAAGCTTGGGTTTTATATTCTCAATGACATCAAAAGGATTGGTTCTATTTGGAAAGGATGCCTTTATGTGCAGAATCTGGGGCCCTCTTAAACTGCTGTTAACCTCAATACATGTTTCATAAGTTGTACAATGAAATACTATAATTCCAACACAAAGATGAGCTTACCTATGCCACTGGTCTACAACAGCCTTGGATGGTAACCTCCAGATTATTTTGGGTTTGGGTTCTCCAGTCGCTGAGCAGTTCAGTAGTAACTTGTCCCCAAAATTCACCTCGGTCCATTTCTGGGATGCAATTTCTATTCTGGGAATGGTGTCTTGAGCTTCCACTGTCAGAATTACCACCCTTCTCTCTGAGCCAGTGGAGCTGGTAGCAATACACTCATAAGTGCCCCTGTCAGGAGAGGCTACATTTCTAATATACAGAGTTCCATTTGAAAATAAGAACAACTTGGAATTGATCAACTTTAATGGTTTCACTTCTGTACCATCAGGGAGGACCCAATGAATTCTGGGCTGAGGAGTGCCTTCTGCAGTACAGGGTAGTCTCAAACTTTCACCCAAAGTCCCTATGAGGATTTGCTTCTTTTGTTCCCGAATAACAGGTGGAGCTGCAATGACTTGTATTTTAACCAGCAGTGAATCCTGGCCAGCTGGGTTGCTGGCTGTGCATTTGTAAAAGCCGCGGTCATACACACTGAGGTTATAAATCACCAGCGTTCCATCAGATTTCACTAAGGCCTGCCTGTGCCTTTCAGATGATTCTGGGACAACAGTCTTGTTTGCCAGAATCCAGGAAATCAGAGGGCTTGGCCTACCTTCGGCTCTGCACTTTAATTCCAGAGTGCTTCCAGAATGAACTGTGATCTCTTTGGTATGTCTCTCCAGGATCCTGGGGGGATAGGAAACCACAGACAAGGTAACATGAAGGCGGTCAGTGCCAAAAGGATTGGATGCTGAACAAAGGTACTGTCCACGGTCCTGAATGTCCACCCTGTGAATGGACAGTGTACCATTGGGGAGCACCTGGAACCTGCTATTCTGATTCCTTTTAGACAAATCAAGTCCTGAGAAGCAGAAGAAGAAAAAAATTATAGCCATAGGCCATCCAAGTTTTGTTAAAAGAAACATAATTTATTCAAATGGTAATCTCAAAAGGGAAAGCTATCTTTTTGTTAGGTTGCTGAGAAAATAATATATTTAAAAACAAAACTAGGACATTTAGTTCTCAGACTGCTGAAATTATTCCTGGAATGTATTATCCACACACTTATAATTTAAAAGCCAGATGAGTGACCACTATAACCATTCTGTCTTTTTCAAATCAACTTTCTTTGGGTCTACTTCTAATTTAAGAAAAGAATGTTTTAAAACATCTTAATGAGCAAAATATGAAAGTGTCAAGTGAGGATATTAATACTTTCTATGTGTTACACAAATCTGAAACTAGTGTTGATTCTTTGGACTTGTGACCCTGAAACAGAACATAATGTTTTCCTGCTTTATAGCTAATGAAGAAGACTCAGTGAAATGAAACCATTTCAAATACCTGATGAGACTCTGGTCCAGTGGATGGTAGGCAGGGGGTTGCCAATGGCCTCACAGGGAAGAAAGGCATCTGAGTTAGCAGGAACGGTAAAACTTGCAGCTTTGCCTCCAACAATTCTGGGTTTTTCAAACGTATTTCTAGACGACGAGTCAAAGGGAAGGAATGCAGAAGTGGTTATTTTTTTAACTGGTGTCTTCTCAAAGGCACTTTTCTCTGTAGTCTTCTGTCCATCCCAATTTGATGCATGGATAGTGTCCTCTGGCAAGCCTAGAAGGGGCAAGATGTTTACTACTGGCTTTTTGCCTTTTTCAGCAATCTCTGGGTATGACTTGTTCCAAAAATGGTTTTCTGACCAGGGAGAGGAAGTCAATTTAGAACTCTGTGGCTTAACTGTAATTAGTGTTGGCATAGAAGTAGAATGTACCTCATTAGCGTAGATTAGTCCAATTGTAGACTTGGCATTTGGGTGAACCTTGGCAGACGGTGCAGCCTGTGCTGCTAAATGGTATGAATTAGCATCATTCCGTGAGGACTCGGATGGTTTGACCATTGTATTTGCCATCATCCTGAAAATGGGATTTGCCACATTGTCAGTAACCACATTATGAGTAAAGAGACGGGTAGGACTTGGCACTGGAGTGGCACGACTGCTCAGGAATGGTGGCACAGTTGAGTGGTTAATGATTGTCTTCCTGGTTGCAATACTCTGGTGGTGTTTGCCAGACAAAATTGTTTCAGAAGCAGCTAAGCTCTTCAAAGCCTGACTACTCTCTTGGGGTAGTTCCTCAATTACATCTGTCAGAGGAAGAGTTCTTGACTGGAAACCAATTGTGTTTAAGATTCCTTCTGGATTTTCTAGGGCAGAATGGGTAAAAGCAGAGACTCTGGACTTGATTGAAGCTTCAGTTGTGGTTAGAACAGGAGGTACCATAGCAGTGAGGGTAGCAAAGCCAGAACTTTGTCCTAGAGAGACGTTTGGGTCATTTCTGTTCTTTTGGGGCTCCTTTTGTCTTTGTTCTTTTTGTGCCCCAGGTCTGGCTGTTTGGATTTTACTGATAATGGCAGATGCAGACGCAGTAGGAGGAGTTGCCAGTGTGGCTGTTTGCATTGATATAAAGTGTGTGGTATGTGATTGTTTGCTTGTGACACTATCAACTGTAGAATAAAGGGGTGGGAAGGGCTGCCCCTTCATCTTTGGGAGACTTCTAGGACTTTGCATTTCAGTGGAACCATGGTGAGTTGTAGACAATGTTACAGATGGAATTTGCATCACACTTGCTGAGAGTGTTGTTAAATGGAAAGGGGAAACTTTATCTGTGGGTAAAGCAGGAGGTATTTTTGTAAGACCTGTGACTGTACTTTTTTGTGAACCATATTTATGCTGATTCTTTAACCTCTCTTTTTTGATATAGTTATTTACAAAAATGTGATGCCATGGAGTTTTCCTTCTTGAAAAACTTGTAATGGTTATAGTGCTAGGTATAGATGGCTTGGTGATGGGGTCTGAAAGTGATGATATAAACAATGAATCTCTTCTAGTTTCATGGGTGGGAGGCTCATTTGGGTAACCAGCATTCATTAAATCAGTTTTTTCCATATATGTGGATGTTGGGGCATACATCCTAACTGTACCAGATGGAATTCCTTGGATACTTTCAGCACTAAAATATATTGTTATGGGTGTTGTTTTTTCAATAGCGATTGGTTTGTTGTCAAACAGCAATGATGGATTCTGAAGTAATGTTGTAGACTCTTCTGATGTGGTTGTGGCAATATCAGCTGGAGAGAGGGTGACTGGAGAAGAAGTTGGAAAAGACCATGCTGTAGCAGGGGTGAGCTTCTCTCTGGAAGAACAAGATGGGCATATCCCACTGATCTCTGTAGCTGAAAATGCTGTAGTGATGTCTTCAGAATAACCTCTGAATCTGGGTCTCACAAAGCCATATCTTTGCCGTCCAAGAATAGGAGTTCTATATGGGCTGATAATTCGCCCTCTACCCCAGAATTTCCTCCGTCTCCCAAAGTGTCTGGAGAGGGCAATCCTAGTTGTAGTATTTCTAGGAATCTGTAACTGAGAATTGGCAGCAGTGTATGGATCTGTAGGAAGTGTAGAAGTGTGAAGTTTTTTTGAAGTGTGAAAGGAATAATTTCTCCTGTGTTCACTGACTACTCTTCCAGATGTCTGATGATTATTTGTGGTATTTACCGACACTAAGAGTAGATCAGCTTTGTTATTAGCACTGCTAAGTATTTTGCTATTGACAGAACTGATCATAGTCCCCACTGGTGTTGAGGATACACTTTGGAAATGGTCTCTTCTTTTCCCTATCTGCTCTGTGTCCTGAAGTTCAGTTGCTCCAGATAGTAGAGGAAGGATAGTGGGTGACTTTTGGTTATTTTTATCTGGCATTTTGGTTGATGTGGTTGGATTTCTATTCACTGACCTGACTGTAGGTTTGTCAGGAGGATATCGATTGAAATTTATAGGTTTTTCAGGTGCTAGTGTTTGTGGACTCACAACTGGGGAGACTTCGGTGCTGGAAGTTGTTATATCTATCACAGGGCTATCAGATATAGTTTTGGAATCAGCAGCAACTGTCCTTGATGGAACATAAGGAACTTTACTTGCCAGAACCATGTATTCCTCATCTGGAGGAAGCATACCTGAACTTTCTTCTTCCGGGCCAGGTTGTTTCAGGAGCTGGGTGGATACTGGAGCTGGCTGTATTGTGGTGTTTTCTGGTTTCTCTGGGGCAGCATTCTTTTTAGCTTTCTCCAAAAGCACTGCCCAGTGTTGTGGGTCAATTCTCTGCGCAGAGGGAAGAAACTGCCTCCTATGTTCCCTAAAATGCCAATTTGCTGAATCTCCACGTCGCCGGTGTATTAACTCCCGATAATTGTGTTTCTTACTTGTGCTCAATTCTTGTTTTTCAGCCTCAACTTTCATGGTAGCCAATGTAGGCAGTTGTAGAGCTGGTGGTGACTCCTGAGGGTACACAGTGACATTGGGTTCATCAAGTCCAGAACCATCTGTTTCTCCATCATGCTCTGTGGGCCTTTGTCCTTTTATTTTGACTGAAACTTGGAAAATCAAAAGATCAACCCCTGCTGGATTGGCTGCTACACAATGGTAGTGACCTTGGTCTTTTGGGGTGACATGTAATATTCTTAATGTGCCATTGTTAAGAATTTGCTTGTCTTTTGAAGACATATAGAGCACAGAGTTTCCGGGAAGAACCCAGCTAACCGAGGCATCTGGGATACCAGTAGAATAACAGTCAAGGTCAAGTGTTTCACCAGTGAAAGCTGTGTGATGAACCCCATTTTCATGAAGGGCCTCTACAGAGGGCTCTATCACACTTATCCTGTAGGTAAGAATATCTGCATCATCATAGTTGGTGCTTATGCAGTGGTATATGCCTGTGTCAAAACTATCAGCCATTTGAAGTTCCAGTTTTCCATTTTTGTCTATTAGGATTCGCCCATCTTCACTAACGTATGGGGCTCTGACTTTACTCCCATCAGCTAGAAGCCACTCCAGATGTGGGGTGGGGTCTCCTTGACCTGGACAATCCAATTCAATGGTCCCACCAACCACAACAGTGTGTTCCAGCTTAGTATTGTTATCTCTTGAAATCATGGTCCATTTGTATTTCACTGGCCTCATCTCTGCCTTTGGTAGAGTGATGTGGGCATCACTCAAGAAGTGGATATGCAATGTACTGAAGGTGGTAGCAGATCTGTTTAGTTGCAAGGAAATTTGATGTTGCATTAACCAAGAAGGATCTGTTCTGAGATTAGCTTCTATATTGGTGAAAATGCTTTCAGGCATAGAAGTCACCTGCTCATATTTGTAGCAAAGCTGTGGTGTCTCAGTGATCAAATGTCTCCTTTCTAGTATCAGAGGAGAGTCACTATACAAAGCTAGAACTTGCCACACTGACTGAATGTAGCTGTAGTCTATGTTACAGACCAGAAATGTAGAAAATGACATGTTTAACATGATGTAGTCATTTTCTTCAGTGAATTCAGTGGATGATGTCCTTGAAGGTTGCTGGATACTGCAGACCACATTAGCTTCATTTCCAGACTGGTCCGTCATATTCATGGTAAGGGAGCCAAACGGAGCCATGAAATCTTGGGGAGAGATGGCAGCAGAACCACCTTCTTCCAGAATGCTCAGGTTCTTAAGTTTCAGGGATGGGTCAATAGTTGGTTTGACACATAGGAAAGCTGCAGCTGGGACCATGGTGAAGGACTTGCCTTTGGAGGCCCTGGGGTTCATGCAAAGTGGACATTGCTGTGGAGTGGAGGGACTTCTGTCTCTTTTGCATTTTATTACATCTAGGAAAAATTACAATTGAGTTATTGCCAGTTGTGGCTTCTATATGAATGAACATTTGAACATTTTGAAGCAATAGCTTTTGCTAGAATTTGAAACAATCTGGAAATTTTCATATTTCATAGAAAATTTTTAGCATTTTTTCTCTCAATCGACTGCTTAATACATACATGTATATTGTTGTTATTTTTACATGCCATTGAGTTAGTTCTGAATCATAGTAACCCTGTATAGGGTTTCCAAGGAGTGGCTGGTGAGTTTGAACTGCTGACTTTATAGTTCAAACAGACCTTGTGGTCCCATGCTTATCTGACAGCACCACACCAGTACTCCATACATGTATATATATAGTTGTTGTTGTAATTGTTGTTAAGTACCATGGAGTTGGTTCCAACTCATAGTGACCCCACACAGGGTTTTCAAGGCTGTAAATCTTTACAGGAGCAGGAAGCCTCATCTTTTTCCCGCGGAACAGCTGGTAGTTTCGAACTGCTGACCCTGAGGTTAGCAGCCTGATTCATAACCACTACGCTACCAGAGCTCCTTATAGTAGTCATATATATTATATATATATATATTGTTGTTGTTGTTGTTAAGTGCCTTCGAGTCGGAGCCGACCCATAGCGACCCTGTACAGGGTTTCCGAGGGTGTAAATCCTTACAGGAGTAGAAAGCCTCATCTTTCTCCCGCGGAGCGGCTGGTAGTTTCAAACCACTGACCTTAAGGTTCGCAGCCCGATTCGTAACCACTACGCTACCAGATATATGTATATATCTCGGGCTGCAATGGTCTATGCTGTTCTTTCCATTCCCCACATACTTGTTGCTGGATACACCCTCTTCCACCAATGCTTAACCACTTAGTAATCATGCTTCAGGACCCTGCTTAAACAACGCTTCTTTTTGGTGGGCTCCATGCTTTATGGGATCCTGGCACCTTTCGCCCCTCACCATCCACTATTAAAATTACTTTTTAGTTGTTTGTCTTCCCATAAGACTGAAATCTGCAAAAGAGTAAAAACCCTGCTTATTCACGTGTGTATGTCCCCAGCCCTCGCCAATGGGTTCTCAGGAAAGATTAGTGGAAGAAAAGGGAAAAAGAACAGCTGAAGGGAGGGAAGCAAGGAGGGAGGAAGAACTGAATAAAGGAAAGAAAATGACATTCTATCTGCCTTGATTCTGCTCTTTTAAGAATTATCTTTTTTGGTGTCAAAGTGACAGAACTTCAAAAGATTAGATAGGAACCTTAGGGGAAGTGAGCTTATGATAATGGGAAGGAACAACCCAGAAAAGAGAATGAGAATAGCTTCACAACTGGAAGTAAGTAATCAGTGTTACTACTGAATGGTACATGTTGAAACAGCTGACTTGGTGTTTGTTTCTATGTATGCTCTCTATAACAATAAAAATGATTTTTTTAAGGTAACATTTCAGTGAGGATTTGTGTGCTCAGAAGCATAAAGCTGAACAGGAAAGGTATTTCCATGAACTAGATTAGCCTGGGCTTAAGAAATAGCTTTCAGAACAGACAGCCAGGATATGAAATGTTAAGATGGAGTGTCACGTTGCCAGTTGCATCTATTTTGCCTATAGTGACTAGATAGGAAAGAGTAGAACTAGAACTGCCTCATAGGGTTCACAAGACTGTAAAATGTACAAAAGCAGACTGCCATATCTTTCTCCACAAAGATGCTGGTGTGTTTGAACTGCTGACTTTTTGGTAAGCAATTAAACCACTGAGCCACCAGAGCTCCTCATCTCCATTTCTGAACATGTTATCCATCCTTTCCCACCGAGGTCAAATGCCACACCTCTGTGAAGTCTTCCATGATTCCTGCAGCAGAAAATTGCTCTGACTTTTATGTTCCTACTTTGTTCATAGGAATCCTGATGTGGTGCTGTTTGAACTTCAAGTTCAGCAGTTCAAGTTCACCAGCTGCTTCTCAGAAACCCTATACAGGGTCACTATGGGTCAGACCCAACTTGACGGCATTTAACAGCAACAGGAGCAGTAACAACACTTTGTTCATACTTTTAAAAATCTACTCTGCGTAGGTCTAAAATTTCCTCTAAGGCTTGAGACTATAACGTCCCTTTATTCCTTCACAATTCAAAGTGCACAGCAGATGGTCAATGAATTAATGCATTTCACAAACTCAAATATTTATGGAAAGAGGTCAGAGAGAAACTAAAACATGTTTGAGGCAGCAATAGTTAACAGCGGTTTAAGGATGTGGACAGTGGATGTCCATATCTATTAATCACTTAACAACCTAGTTGTTGGTTTTCTCATCTGTAAAATGCATTACTGGCCTCACTGCATTATTCTGAAGATTAATGATCTCTTTGGTGCTAAACTAAATCTACTCTTTTCAGTTATTATCTTAAAGACTTAATTGAAATTAAACAATTATGTAAATGAAATCTAGCAACTAATGGTATAATTAGTTGTTTACCCATCTTCCTCATTAGAATGTAAGATCCACCACAGCAGGGGCCTTAATCAGTCTTATTCATTTTGGGATCCCCAGCTCCTACAAGTCCCTTGCATATCAGAAGTTCACAAAGAGTGACTATTGGCTGAATGGATCTTGTACTCTTCATGGGAGTTTTACACTTTTACCATCAAAGCACATTGCACCCTCTTTTCATGTCTGCTCACTTGTTTACAGTCATGGAAAGCTCGGTTAGAGAAGTTGATGCTCTTGATGTTTTCCATCACTATCACACGACTTCGGGTAGAGGTACAGTAAGAAATGTGTCAACATTCAGTAGTAACTGAATGAACTGGAAGGGGATAAGGAGGGAGAAGGGTTTTCTTTGTTCATAGTAAATAGTTAAGAGTAACACACATATTTCTTAATACCCTATTTTGCCAAAATCCAGAAGATATAACTGAAAATTGACCAAAACGAAGAATGATGATTTGATTAATAAATAAGGAACATTCATTATCACTGAATTATTATGTAGACTTGATTATCTTTCCAGCAAAATTACTTTGGCCTCTCCACATACTGACAAACACCTCCAGGTTTTCTCAATTTAGTTAAAGATAAAGAAACAGACAGTATAGATACCTGGCTTTTCCTGAATCCAATCAGACAACCATTTTAAGTGGCAATCACAGGTCCATGGATTTCCATGAAGATAAAGGCTTTCCAGCCTGGGCATGTAGGAGACCATCTCTTGGGGGAGGTAGGTCAGGAAGTTATCAGACAAGTACAAATACTTAATGAAAGATGTTTTAAATATCTGGAGGTAGCGCAAAGAGACAAATGTATCTGGATGGAGTTTCGTCAGTTGATTTCCTTCTAAATGGACCATTCGGAGAAGGGTGAGTCCATAAAAAACTTCTGGGTTTATAAACTCAATATTGTTGTGGTCCATATGCAACCGTGTCAAACTCCTTAGGCCATAAAAAGTCTCCTTCTGAAGTTTTCGAACTTTGTTATAGCTCATTTTTAAGACCTAAGAAGGAAAAGGAGCACATTTATGATGTCAGAATGATTTTCACAAAAGGGAAACTTATGTAGTAATAAGACATATGTTGAGATAACCCAATACAATGTATGTACCTTGTTTGGCTCTGTGGTGCAGTGAATTGTTTATTATATTTCTTTAACCATGGTCTTTGTAACTCTCACCAAACAACTTTTTCCTGATGGTTCTGGGTAAGAGAAGGTGGGGGAATATGCTGATAAGAAGATATGATTCAACTGTGAGTGATTGCTAACAAGGCTAATTGTGATTGTAAAAACTTGGAACTCTAACGTGGGTATAAATTGAGCCACTTCAGAAGTGTAGGAACAGGTAAATCTCACTTCCATCAAAGAAAACGAGCCAGTGGAGTCTATCTATCCTTGGGATCCATATGTGTTGAAATTCCCCAATCCAAGAGACACAACTGTGATACCAGAGGAGCGACAGAGAAATGGCAGAGAAGCAGCAGCAATGGGACCAAGAGTCAGAGCAATAGACAGAGTGGTAGTGCCTTCTGGAAGGAGGCTTGATTTTGGAGTGGGGTGCCTCCAGACACTTGATCTGAGGAACCAGGTTTACTGACCCATGGAGCTAGAGTTGAGCACTTTGGGGCTGAGACCACAGTAGAGTGGCGCACCCTTTGGGCATTTATTGGTAGCCCAAAAGAGCTTTGTAACATTGCCCAAGTAGGGGTAATGGGCTAAAAGAAAGGCTTGCTTGTGGGCATGACTGAGAAGAGGCTGTCCTGACTGGAATGTACCCTGAGTATTTCTGATCCTTAATTGTAACCTATTGACTTCCCTAATAAACCCTGTAACTCTGAATATGGTAGAGAGTGGAAGCATGTCTAATTTCAACTTAGAGAAATTGATCTTGGGCTGATGTTCGTAGTAATTCTTTCCCCTTCCTTGTGAAGTCAGAAGAGGTCAGACAATGCCTCCCATGTCTCTTTTTACAGGATCTCAATGCAAAAAAATGGAGTCCTGGTGTGGCACTGTGGGCTAATGCGTCAGACTGTAAAGTCATTTGAACTGCAAGGTTGGTGGTTCAAGCTCACCAGCTGCTCCTTCGAAACCCTATACAGGATCACTATGGGTCAGAATTGACTTGACAAGTACTTTATAATGCAAACAAATCAGTTTCAAATTAAACCTATCAGGGAAATTGGGCCATTCATGAACATTTGATGATATTAAGGAATTGTTCAATTTTTGAAGATATAATAATGGTAGTATGCTTATTTGTCAAAGATTTCCTTACTTGAGATGTGGAGCATTTACAGATGAAATATTATAATATCTTGAATTTGTTCCAAAACAATCCAGTGGAGGGCAAAAGGGTGGGTTGGTGTACAGATAGGTAAGATTTGTCATGTGCTGATAACTATTAAAGCCAGATGATGATACATTCAAGTTCATTATACTTTTCATCTACTTTTGTAGGTGGTTGAAAATTTCCATAATCAAAATATTTTAAATATCTCAATATTTCAAGTAAATTTAAGACTTCTCAAGTCTGTGTCTGTTCATAAAAAGGAATACATATTGATTTTAATTTATTTTTTCATATTTATAAAAACCGTATTGAAATACAGTTCACATGCCATAAAATATGCCCTTTTAAAATGTACAACTCTGTGGGTTTTTAAAAAATATATTGGGCATATGCATAAGAACACCCACACTTGCAGATAATACCCACTTATCCTGGCTTCAGTGACTGGATGATCAGAGCTCAACCAGAGTAAAAAGAAGAGGAAAAAAAAAAAAGTATTCTCAAACAATTTGATGAACTTGACCTACACCTATGGAAGCAGTAGCTCAAAAGAGGGAACAAGTCCTTACAGAAAGAATCATTCCTACCCCTCCACACACAGAGTAAACAGGGATGGGCAACTTGGACATTGGCTACCCAAAATGGGGGGGTGGGGAGCTACAAAGGCAAGAAGTGACTGGCTTACAAGCTTTCAAGAGTGAACCTAGATCCAGAGGGCATGGAGGAAGGTAGAATCTCCAGTGAGTAGCATTCAATCTGTCTAGGCAGGGTTGAATGCAATGAAATGCAGACGGGTCTCTTGTGATAGAATATTGAATAATTGTTATCAGGACTGATTGTGAGGGTCGGAAATGTAAAGGTAGACATTTTATAGCAAGGAGGGGAGTGATTAACTTTTCAGTCTAGGAGC